CATTACAGTAGTCCAATCTCGAGGTGACCATCACATGGATCACTGTCGCCAAGCCACTGCATTTGATGAAGGGAACCAACTGTCTAATCAGCCGGAGGTGGTAAAAGGCTGGTTTGGCAGTGGCTGCTACCTGGGCATCCATTGTTAGAGAGGCATCCAGGAGCACTCCCAAGCTCCTAACCTCCAGCGCTGGCACCAACTGTAAATTTGAGGGGTAGAGCCTGGGGAGGGCAGGGTGTGGGGTGTGGAGGGACTTCAGCAGGCTATAATGCCATAGAGTCCACTGCCCAAAGCAGCCATTGTAATAGCTGGGAAATTTTCTGTAGGGGAAATGATGTGCTGTTGCTGGGGAACACGGTGATTTCTGGGAGATCTCCAGGCCCCACAGGGAGATTGGCAACTCCAGTGATCGTTTAAGGGAAGATTGGGATATGTATTTTGGCTACTCCAGTGACCGTTGAAAGGAAAATTGGGATATGTATTTTACCTCAGGACACATTGAATGACTCCCAACAGCAGCAGCCAACTGTTTAGAATGTTAGAGGCAAAGGCCAATCTGGCCCCATATGCAAATGACCTATGTGTTTTGACTGGCTATGGGGGGAGAGGAACAGCAAACTGTTTAGAATATTGGAGGCAAGACTCAGGCAACGCAGCAAGTGGATAGGGACAGCTTCTGAGTGACAGATCAGGGAGTCAACTGATTTGGGAGCGTGTGGAATGTTCAGGAGAGTTCAGGAGAATTATTATATATAGAGATTTCTCTTTTACAGTAATTATCTTTTAAGGTATTGTTTTATGCCAATAAAGGCTAACTGAAACTGAAGCTGAATTCAATTCAGCTGAGGTGTAGTAGAAAAAAATCCCATGAATTCTTAAGAAAGTGTTTGTAAGACCTCCTCCCAAAGAAGTGCTTCTGGAGGTCATTTAATGGGGGATGCTGGGGATTGAACCTGGGACCTGCTGCATGAAAAGCTTCCTGATTTTGGGAGCAATTCTAATCATATCTACTTGGAAGTAACTCCCATGTTATTCAGTTCGGCCTCCTCCCAGGAAAGCGCCCTTAGGACTATAGTCTTAATGAACTATCTAAATCTTTTATTTCTTGGAGGGTTGAAAGTGAACCAGTACAAACCACTAGAGACTGCTAGTAAGGAAGTGGCGAAAGTGGTATCTCTCATCTTCTACTTTAAGCTTCCCAACAGAGACAGTACTGGAAAGAAAGTTAATTTCATACCTGATTTTGTGGCAAAATGCTCAAGTGGGTGTTTGCAATACACTCCTAATTATTAATCCAATTCCTAAAATTGGCTAATTATTTCTTTATGATATCCAGCATTCTCACTGTTTGTTCTACAAAGGATTGCTGTTTTCAGTATGAAGAGCTCAAGGAGAGGGGGAAAAAATGGATGAAGTGCACTGGAAATGAACCAGATGAAATTGTTCTAACATCAGACCAGCCTGAATTAAAAAATCCTGGATGGATCTAACAGTTGACATTTTTGATGATATCGATTACCTCCTTCCTTTTATTTAGACTGTTTATACCTAACAGAACACTAACACTACATTGCAATCACTTCAACAAGTAGTAGAATCACTCAGTGGCAGGGCTCTTTTTGTAGCAGTTTGCATATTAGGCGACATACCCCTAATGTAGCCAATCCTCCAAGAGCTTACAGAGCTCTTCTTACACGGGCTACTGTAAGCTCTTGGAGGATTGGCTACATTAGGGGTGTGTCACCTAATAGGCAAAGGAGTTCCTGCTACAAAAAGTGCCCTGAGTAGATGAAACCAATCAAGAAGTATAACATGAGGAGTTTTGGCTTGCAGAATATCAGAACTAAATTCAGCTGTTGCAGGTAAGTATACAGGAACTTATGTTGCAGCATTCATAAAATATTAGTTAAGTAAGAGAAAAGCTATTAACTTTTGATAATGTTTTCAAGATACCCCAACAGCGTAATGTCATATCTTACCATGGCAAGAATGGCAGGTTGGATGGCACCGTTCACAGGTATTTTTATTATGATCTGCAAAGTAATGTTCAGGGCAGGAGGCATGACATT